CTGTCGCGTGCCCATCAGGCAGATCAAGCATCTAGGATGCTTGGCCCCCGGCTCCGGAGTCCCTCTGGGCATCTCGGATCGTCCATGCTGGAGCAGACAATGAGGGGCAGCGGCCGACAGGCGAGTCCAGCAGCAGATGCACAGGCGGCGAGTACATGTGAGAAGTTTGTGAAAAGAGATGAGAGAAAGGGAGAGGAAGGCAAGGCAGGCGGCTGCGAACACCTGGCCAGGCAGCCATGCCAGCTGCCTCCCCGCGATGGCATCTTGAGTTCGGGAGTCCTATCCAGGAGGCCATCTCCCATTCCACCCTCCCTGCCCCCTCTCCAATGCTCCAAGGTGAGGCTTGGCCAGAAAAGAAGGTGGGGGTAGCTGCTGCTTTTCCAAACCTGCTTCTGCCGGAAGTGTGCTTGGAGCCTGTCCAGCCTCGGAGTCTTTGGAAGAAGGAGAAAAGTAAAACCCTGYTCACCCTATTGCCTCAGCCCCTGGGCTTGGGTGAAGGGTAATGGGTGCCAGCCMAGGTTGTTAGTTAAGAGCAAGGGCTGGGGAGTCAGATAAACCTGGATTCCAATCCCCACCCCATCAGTGCCTAACTGTATGGTCTTGAGAATGTTAATCTCGGTGTGTCTCAGTTTTCTCATCTGCAAAATGGGCACAATGATATAGGCTTGGTACAGAAATTCAATACTTCTGAAGCACCTAGCTCAGAGCCTTGCAAATAGGAGCCACTCTATAAAAGTCTATTGTTGTCACCATCATCCCCCTCTGCTAGAGTCCTGGGGAGAACATTGTTCATGTATTCATTCATTTGACACAAGTTACAGTAAGCTTCTACATGGTGCTTTGCCCATAGACACAAGTATTGGAGACACAGAGAGAGAGAGAGAAAAACAAAACTTATTTTCAAAGAAGTCCCAGAGTTCTTCAAAGAGCAGAGGGCAYAAAAATCTCACATTCTTACTAAGAAATAATAGAGGAAGATTCAAAAGACATTGGGAGCTCTKAAAAGGAAAACTCTAAGTCTCCAGGAAACTCACATAATTAGGCAGGGCCACCCCTTCCCCAACTACTGGGGCTTGAACCCAGGGATGCTCTACTACTGAGTCACAAACCCAGTCCTTTTTATTTTGAGACAAGTGTCTCACTGAATTGCCCAGGCTGGACTTGAACTTAGGATCCTCTTGCCTTAGCTTCCTGAGTTGCTGGTATTTCAGGCATGTGCCACCACTCCTGGCCTAGGACAGGGCTTCAATCAAAAACAATATTGAGTCCAGTGATAGGTGTCCCGGGAGTAAGATTTGCAATTTGTGAGTCCCATCTGCATTCAAATCATGGATATCTCTTAAAGAGCCCTTATCGTCAAAATCTCTGGGTGTGAGGCTGGGATGCTGTAGTTTTAAAAGGCTGCAGGTTATTTTTATTTATACTAAAGTTGAGAGCTACTAGCTCATAGGAAAATGCCACTGCACCCCCTCCYCATCCCTTTGTTCCCTACAAAGCTAGTCCTTCTGGAGGATTKAATGCTTTGTACCCTCACTTAGAGTTTATGTGGCAATTCTGTGTATCTGCCCTCTTTCCCCACAGAACCTACGTACAAGACCCAGCCATCAGCATCCCAAGCATTCTGAAATGCTGCTATAATAAAGGATATGGCCCCTTTAGTGACACTTGCTTTAATGCCCATGTGGTCCTTACTTGGAACCTGGACAAATTTTGTTTGGCCCATGTACACGGTGCACATGTGGGAGTGTGTGTGTGTGTGTGTGTGTGTGTGTGTGTGTGTGAACTGTAATTTAATGCCATGGGTTGAGCATGTGCTGTCCAGTTTATCATCATTCAATCTCCCTTTCATGTACCCAGCTGGAGTAACTAACTTATTTTACCATATTTGCCTTTAATTGAATTTAACTTTGCAAATCCTGGAAGATGTTGTTAATTGAGTTCTAAGGCTCCCCTTCCAATTGTGTTCTGTATGGTCTGTCTCTTCCAGGTTGTTATCTCCAGGACCTTTCCATGAAGACTAGTCCTTAGTGATGAATATCAGCTTACTGCTGGCTGCAGAGAGCTGCTAGTAGACCTTCTGGGAGGGAAGGATGAGAGAATGTTTTCCAGTTTGTGATCCTAATGCCTGGGGGTGGTGGTGGTGGAGGTGGAGCTGGTGAGGTAAGGGTCAACTCTGAAGACAGAGCAGTTGTTGGTTTTGTTTTGTCACTGACTGATACCTGACTGTGATCTCCTCAGCATCTCCAAGGACCCTGAGGAAACAGCAGAGAAAGAAGATGGATGTGGATGGGCCTACTTCTCCTAGTTTCTGCAGATTCAGCTTCCCAACTAGGGTATTATGGAGTGAGTGTGGGTCCTAGGGCACCACGAGGCCAGGCATGATGCAGATCCCATACCCCCACTTTCATTCTCCTTTTCCCTTTRGGCTTCCAGCATTGGATAGAAACAAGACTTAGTGATCCTAAATAGTAAAAAATTACTGCTCTGCTTTTGGGAAACCGATGGATCCTGAACAGAAATTCTGATTTGTTCAAAATGTTTTTTAAATTAACCATTTTTTTGATTGTTAAAGTTGGAAGCTCTTAGCAATGATCTCCTTATAGGTAAGCTGAGGTCCAGCATCAGAGTGCAGCTCCGAACCTAGGCCTCTCTGAGGCCTGTAGTTATATATATATATCTCCTCCATCATCATATATATATATAAAATATATATCCTCCATCGTGAGATATATATATATATATATATCGCCATCCTTATTTCTTGCCTTGTTCCTGAGTATACAATTCCCTGCTGTGGATTTTAGACTGGCCACTCTCTGAAGGCAGGGCTGGAGTCTGATTCACATTTGTGTTTCAGTCCTTGGTATTCTGGCATAAAGCTGGAGCTAAAGAATAGAGAGGAAGGAAGCACAGTTTGCACCCTCAGAGGAAATATTCCCCAGGGATATAACCCCAGGCCATCCCCACTCTCCATCACTTTCTCTTTAAGTTGAGGAAGAAGAGAGGAACTAACGTTTATTCTGATTTCCAATGTGCCAGGTACTGTGTCAAGTCCGTCTCTCAGAGTGTTCCTCTCAATAATCAGCGGGGAAGAGACTATTATCCCCATTTTACAGATGAGGACCCTGCAGTACAGAAGCGTTGAGAAGATCTAATGGTCTCTCCGCCAGAGAGAGGTAGAGGTGCATTTTGAGGGAGTCTGAGGGAGGGTGCAAAGGCTGTGAGGAAGTTTACTCAACACTAGTTTGAGTAATGCGCAATGCTTTCTTGACTACTCTAGCTCAAAACATCTTCACTGGAACCCAAGAAAGCACACGTGAATGCAATTCCCACTTTAGAGCGGAGAAAAGARTCACAGAAGTTTAGCAAAAGCGCTTGCGCCTGGCCTCCTCCGCCTGGATTCCGCCCCCGCACCTCCTCCCCGCCCTGAGCTGGCGTGGATGGGAAGGGATTGAGGGTGTCAAGTGGAAAGGAAAGTTGGGCGTAGGCAGGACTTCCTCTTAGGCCAGGGTGTGGGTGTGTGTGTGGGTCTCCTCCATCGTCCCGCCCCCATCGCGTTAAGATTCTGGGGAACGTGGCACACGYACTCCCGAAGCTCAGGTGATGCGCCTAAAACCCTGAAAACCGCTCCCTTGGCGGAAGCGGAGGTGGCTGCGGAGACGCAGCTGGGCGCGCGGGGTTTCATTCCCAACACTGAGCGCGGCCGCAGTCCCTGGATTCCCCATCCATTATTGACGATGTTTACCAGCTCGGGGGAAAGGAGAGAAAAGAAGAGGGAAGAAGAGGGGAAGAGAGGGCAGGAGACACGGGGTGGGCGGGGAGAGGGAGGGAATCCGGCAGGATCACGGGCCCTCAAGTCTCGAAACTTCTGGAAGACACAGAGGCTAAGTAGTCAAGAGTCCCGGAAATCATTTGTGGGGCCGGGCACACAGTAGGCTGTTGGAAATATTTGGGGGGATGGATAATGGCTCTATTCAACCATGTAGTCTTGGGCCAAAAGCCTTAACCTTCTGACCTTTGATTTCCCCCATCTATATAAGGGGATCATTGCATCTGCCCCATAGGATTGAACTCTAAATGGAACTCTAAATGGCTTAGCACATATTAGTAGCTCAAAAATAGTAGCTTTTGTTAGGGGCAATGGGGTTTGTAAGCAGGGATGGCCCAGCAGAAGTGCACTGACCTTAATTAAGCAGGCCAGGTGGGTTGTTCTGAACTGTCACTATTCTAGAGAACTTTCAGAAAGCTTCCTTCCCTTGGAAGATTGGAGAAAGCAAGAGAGGCAAGCATGTGGGGAAAGCCACAGGCCTCTAGCACAGGAAAAACATTTACTGCCCGTACCTCCACCCAGGCGGGCTCCTGGGTGGGGGAAGGTCACCAGGGGCTCATTCTGGCAACCTCTCGCCTTTGCSGGACTTGGTCTGGGTTCTGGAGGCGCCTCTTCTCCGAGCGGCGGTGCTGGACTCTGGTGGACTGCTCGGGCGTGGGGCCAGGAGCGCCCTGGAAATGGGCAATTTGGCGGCAGCCCGGCCCCGACTGTGGTGTGTGTGTGTTTGTGTGTGTGTGTGTGTGTGGTGGGGTATCGGAGTAGGGTCAGCTTCCTGCCCCTGCTCAGCACAAGACTGCCTTCGATCCAGGTAGTGCGAGCTGGAACCGGACAGAGAGGTTCGGGACTTTGGAGAGGGGGAGGGAAGTCCAGGACGAAGAAGAAAGAATCCGTAAGGTCTGGCAGGTTGGAGCCAGGCGGGGCGGGGCGGTCGGGGAGAGACCCGGGCAGGCCTTGGGTATAAATGCTGTGGAGGGGGCGGCCTCGGCGGGCACTGAGAGGCGCGCCGTGAGCTGCTGTCTCGCCTTGCCTCCCGGGCAGCCCCTGCGACTCCCGGGCGCGTGTGCACGCCTGCGCGCGCCCGGGCCCTTCCTGGCAGGCTGCTTGTAAGATGAGTGAAGAAGCAGGTGGGGGAGAGGGGAGGCAGCAAGCGAGAGGGCGAGGGGAGCGCGGGCGCTGATCGGCGCTCACTTGGAGCGCAGCGAGCAAGCAAGACGAGCCTGATTCCATGTCCCCCGCTGCCTCCCTGCCAGACGCGCGAAGATGATGGCCATGAACGCCAAGCAGCCTTTCGGCATGCACCCGGTGCTGCAAGAACCCAAATTCTCCAGCCTGCACTCCGGCTCCGAGGCCATGCGCCGAGTCTGTCTCCCAGCCCCGCAGGTACGTAGTGGAGCATAATTACCGCTCTAAGGCACAGTTTTTGACAGGCACTAGCTTCATGTTTATTTCATGTCGCCCAGAACAATCGCCGCTGTCTGAACCCCTCTCCTTGTCTCCCCTGCGCTCTCTCCCGGCGCTCTCTCTCATTCATGTCTCTGATCCACACGTCTGTTCCAGCAGAGCTGCTGCCTCCGTATTAATTTTTATGACCTGGGCTTTGAGGAGAGGCATCTCAGTTGCTTGAAAATGTGTTTTAATCCTGAGTTGACAGTATTCCCTACTGACCGTGCTGTGCGCCTTCTCGCTTGCAGCTGCAGGGTAATATATTTGGAAGCTTTGATGAGAGCCTGCTGGCACGCGCCGAAGCTCTGGCGGCAGTGGATATCGTCTCCCACGGCAAGAATCATCCRTTCAAGCCCGACGCCACCTACCATACCATGAGCAGCGTGCCCTGCACGTCCACCTCGTCCACGGTGCCCATCTCCCACCCGGCAGCGCTCACCTCGCACCCGCATCACGCAGTGCACCAGGGCCTCGAAGGTGACCTGCTGGAGCACATCTCGCCCACGCTTAGCGTGAGCGGCTTGGGTGCGCCAGAGCACTCGGTGATGCCGGCTCAGATTCACCCGCACCATCTAGGCGCCATGGGCCACCTGCACCAGGCTATGGGCATGAGTCACCCGCACGCCGTGGCGCCTCACAGCACTATGCCCGCTTGCCTCAGTGACGTGGAGTCAGACCCTCGCGAGCTGGAGGCCTTTGCCGAACGCTTCAAGCAGCGACGCATCAAGTTGGGGGTAACCCAGGCGGACGTGGGCGCGGCTCTAGCTAATCTCAAGATCCCTGGCGTGGGTTCACTCAGCCAGAGCACTATCTGCAGGTTCGAGTCTCTCACTCTCTCGCACAACAACATGATTGCTCTCAAGCCGGTGCTCCAGGCCTGGCTGGAGGAAGCGGAGGCTGCCTACCGAGAGAAGAACAGCAAGCCGGAGCTCTTCAACGGCAGCGAGCGTAAGCGCAAACGCACGTCGATCGCCGCTCCTGAGAAGCGCTCACTCGAGGCCTATTTTGCCATCCAGCCACGTCCTTCATCCGAGAAGATTGCGGCCATTGCTGAGAAACTGGACCTTAAAAAGAACGTGGTGAGGGTCTGGTTTTGTAACCAGAGACAGAAACAGAAACGAATGAAGTACTCAGCTGTCCACTGACTTCGGCGGGGCAAAGCATCGGGAGTCGGGAGATGGGAGGGACGGTTATAGGAAACCCCAAAGTGTTTCCTAGCAGGTCAGGCTCTCTCCTCCGAAGCCACAGACCTTCCCCTTTATCCCGCCTAGTTGCCTCCCGGCCTTCTCTTTTTCTTTTTTTCTATTCCCACCAAAAAAGTTTTGGCGCTAGGGAAAAATGCAAAAGTGGCCGGCTTGGTGGGACTTGTGCTGTCCGTGGTGCTGAAACCCGCACTCGCACGTTGGACAGCGAGACCTCAGGGCAGGAGCCTCAAAGCAGAGGGTAGTGGATTGGTTCCGCCGCCCGACGATGGGGTGAAAGCGCCACTTTGCTAAGAGCAATTAGGCAAGGGGTGAAGGGATGGAAAGTAAGTGATAAATAATAATATAAAGTATAGGATCTAAGTGGAACACAAACGTACTGGAGATTTATTAGAGTATATAAAATACACTTATGTTTCCAAAGGATAGCCTTATACTCCCTTCTCGGCCTAAATTCTATCCATCTTATCCTTGGGTTTGCAGTAAATTCTCAAAAAGTAGCATGGATTAGGTTCAGGGAAAGTGTGCGGAGAGTTGGGGGCTCTGAGCTGTTGGTGGTAAGTAGGGCTCCGGAAAAGTGGGCCCAATCCAGCGACTGAAAATGCTGGGATCCCTTGGCTATTTGTAAGCAGCAGCCACACCAGCTCTGGCCATCCTTCACGACCTGCTGGCGTTTGAGGGGGTAACTACCRCCGGATGGAGGGAGGGATGGGGAGGGAGTGTGTGGGGGGATGTTGAGTTGGTAGTGTTCTGACCAGACTGAATGAGGACTGGTCTCAGCTGCTGCTCTTGCCAGACTGCCGGCTCAGTGCTCCAAAGTGACTGTAACTTCTCCGAATCATATGCAAGTCCTTCCAACACATCTAACCTCTTTGCGCTTTTATTACTGTTGTTGTTGGCATCAGTTGATTCCAATTATTTATTTAACTCCGCTTCTTTCCTTCCTCTTTATGTGAGTGTCTCTCGTTGGAGGTTCACTTATAGTTTTGCGTGGGAAAAGGAGCAGGACCACCGACCTGGACTTTTCCCATCCTAGTCCCTCTGACCCCATCATGTTTTATTTTTTTTTTGTTGCTCCTTGTAGTTTGTGTGTTGCGTGTGACCTTTGGTTTCATTCTCTGAATTGATGCAAATAAAATATTAAGTTTTTTCCTCTTTCTCCCCCCTTGAATTTACTTCTAAAATAAATGCTTTATTTTTCAACCCGAATCACAGTAGTTTTCCTTCTTGGATGCTAAGGGTACTGGTCTTGGGAGGATTTAAAAGTGAAAATCCAAAAGGGTTGGACTGTCACTTCCTGCCAGCCAGCCCCCAGCCATCTCTTCTCTGCATTCCTCTCCCCTGCAATCTCTCACTCTTACCGGGATCTCTTCCGGGGAGATCTGACTGTTCCTCTCCAGACCTCAACGTTTAAAGGCACTTTCTTCCTCACTGCCCATCGATCAGATCAGACTATTCTCTGGACTTAACTTCAATTCCAAACTTTGCACTCTGACTGGTGGGAGTTTCAACTCCACTCATTGGCTAAACCATCTTGAGGCTAGTTTCCCAACTTCTCTAAGCCTTCTTCATAAGATTCCTTGTCTACAGAATGAAGGTTTAATACCTGTTTCCCATGGTTATTGTCAGGACTAGGTGAGAGGGTTTACTTAAGACATCTGGCAGGTGATGCTCGGCACTCGGTAAGAAACAAATTATTTTAAAAGATTCAAGTGATTGGAAAGAAGATGAGGGGATACAGGCAAAAAGAGAAAAAAAGTGGTCATTGGGGCAATTTGTTGGGATCCCTTCCGGGTCTCCAAAAATTTATTTGAGATAGTCATCCAAATTATTCTCTCCATGGTTTAATCTCCAAAAGGTCTATCCCTCTCTTTGTGGAGGGACTGAGCAGATATGCTGCAAAGCACCTAGTTTATTGCCCTGCACACAGTAGGTGCTCAAAAGATGTCAGTTTCCTTCTCTTTTTCTACTCCCTCTAAAGGGCGGAGGGAGAAACATTTTTATTTGTGAACCGCAGAAACGCTGTCGTGATTTAAAAATTAATGCTACAGGTCCAGGAGTCGTCTGAACATTTCCCCTTAAAGAGTTCTGGGTCATTAGACCTCCGCTCGAAATTAGGAGTAGAATAGTTTCCCCGAAATTAGGAGTAGAATAGTTTCCGTTCTGGGCAGTGTGGCGCCCCCCCCCCCCCGCATCCCACCCCCACTCCACGGGGAAAGCAAACTTGTGGATAGCCCCTGCTTTCCGGGCCTCAGCCCCTCGCCTCCGCCTTAAGCAACAGCCCAAGTGATTTCTCCACCTCCCTTTCCATCGGGCGTCCTTTAATAATAAATGCCCTTATGCCATTACATTATATTGTGGGTTTTGAAAATTTAAAATACGGCTGATGCAATATTAATTGCCTATAGTGGTATAAAACACAGGGCCGGAGCACAGCCGGGCTGCAGAGGAGGCGGCCATGAGCATCCCGTGCCGAAGCGAAGCGCTCCAGAAGGATGCGCCTTTGCTAGGTTTCCTGCAGGTAAGAGCCTTCGGATTTTCGGGCTTAGGAAAAAACCCAATATCTAGCTCCATTCTCCTTTTTGGAAAAGTTCCTTGGTGTTGTCTCAATTTTTAAAATCAGCAACCTCAAAACTTTGGGAGACTTTTTTGGAGAGGTGGAGAGAGGAGTCGCTTGACTGCAACGCACTTGGTAACAAGTCTGAACTGCTCCTTTGCGCCTCATCCCTTTCAGGCGCCGGGGACCTCTGGCGCTCGGAGTATTTTGACCAGTTTATACTTCCAGGCCCCAGCTGCCGCCCTGCCCGCGAAGCGCTCCACCCTCTCCCTCCCTCTCAGTGCGCCGGGTCGGCGCCGCTGCCTCTTTCCTGGGGCTCGCTCAGGAAGCCAGGGGAGATGTGGTTTCCCCACGATTGTTTAGTCGCCTCTGCCACTCGTCCGGCGGAGGCACAGACCTCTCTCTTGGGGGAGGGGTACCAGCAGGTTTGGGGTTCATACAGACCTAGTTTGTATCCATGGTCCAGTTCCTAACCATGTGACCTTGGGCAGCTCACATCACCTAAGCCTCTGCTGACGGCTGTAAAAAACAATTTTTTTTTTGAGTAATTGAGGATTATTTAAGAGCACTTGGAGAAGTTTTTCCTTTCTCAAATGCCACCAACTTGCAATAGTGACCATCCAAGACTTAACTGGGTGTTTCTTTAGCCAGTATAGAGAACAAAATGAGGCCGATATTCTGAAGCTGCCTTGGGCCTCTACTGGTAGGCCTTTGAGAGTCCTCTGGGAACTCGGTGGAAGGTTTCTAGGCACCTTCTTGGCTTGAACTGGGCTTGATCTGGAATGAGCCAGGCATATAACACCCCAGCAGGGCTCAAGTCCTGGCAGGCAGAACTTAGAGGCCGGTGTCCTGGGCTCTTAACTGTGTGATCTCTGACTAGTGGCTTCCTCTCTCTGTGTCTGAGGTAGTGCCAGTTTTGTTCAATATTTCATGCCCAGCTCAGAGTCTGACCCAGAGTAGCAGGCAATAGATAAGTATTGAATGAATGAAGTTTGGGTTTTGTAAAATGAAAGCACCCTTTCCAGCCCAATGGTCTTGAAATTCTAGGCACTATAGAGAAGGACAGAGACCATAGGACATGGCAGCCTCCCTGAGAGTCAGGTTCAGGGTCAAAATGGTCAAAAGTTTTCATCCAAAGGCAGCCAGTTTTCTTCCTGCTTATATAGAAGAGGGTGTGSCTCACTCTGGTGAGCATCAGGGTGCTTCTGTGACATGGATCCAAGAAACTAGAAGAAAGTTTCCAAGAAACTAGAAAAGGTCAAGGAGGAGGACCAGAGAGTGCCCTGTCCTGTTTGTCTGGCCCACTCTTGGCCCTGCCTTTTTGCTTGGGCTCTTTTAATTTTAATTTTTTGCTGAGATGGAAATAGCTCTGGTTCTGGAGTGGGCAGATTCAAGGCAGAATAAGCACACCATCTCTTATTTAAGTGACCTTATTACTCTAACCCTTAGTGCTCTCATCTGTAAAATTGGAGAAAAAAGACTATCTCAGGATTGCTCTGATGATTAAATGAGATCATGTAAGGTCAGGGCTTGACCCATGAGAGGCGTTAATGGGTAACTAACTGCTTCAAACATTCTTCATATTCAGAAAAGTGAGAGATAGTGTTGAGGGCAAGTTCAGGCCTTGAAGTCAGACGGATTCAACGTTTCTGCACTGTGAGCCACATCTGGTCAAAGGAGGGTAGTGTCCCCTATCCGCTCTCTGAGTGGTTTTCAGGGGCAAGAAACGTAAAGTGTAAAAGAAACTATTTTGCACACAGTCCAATGGGTTCCTGTTACCGAGGAGACCATGAATGCGCTAAGGAGCCTTTGAATATGCAAAATTCCCATTGAGAAGTTTGGACCCAATTGGTGGCTCCTTGAACCTCGTACTTTTCCAGCAACCAACACTGACCCCGACTTCTATCCTTCCAGAGAAGAAAGGCTCCAGTGGGTAAAAGAGGAGCAGGATTGGTGTCTTGGACTYTTCCCTTCTCCCTGTGCCCACCGTTTGGCTCCGGAATGCCTGGGCAGTAGAACACTTTCACCTTCCTCCTTTCACTGAAAGAGAGGCTGAGGCCCATAGAGGGAAAGGGACTTAGTTGACCCCTTCTACCTAAAGTAGCCTCGTTTTCTTTCTTTCTTAGTCCTTACGACTTCCTGAAAGCACCTTGTTTACGTTAGCAGTAAATGCGCTCTGGGTGAGCAGGTCGCCCGGTTCACCCCTCCCTCCGTGAACCCAACACAACGCAGGACCTCACACAGAGTAAGCGCCCCATAAACGTTTGTTGGATAGTCGAATAATGATTATCTAAAATGTATGGAGGCTTTCCCCTATACCAGGTACTGTTCCAAGCGCTTTATGTGCAATTTTTTTTAAATCCCTACGAATAGGTATATTTAAATCCCATTTTACAGATAAGAACACGGAGGCACAGAG